CAAATCAATATCTCTATCTACCAGGTCAGATCTCAAGAGGTAGGAAAATATGGGTGGGGAGAGTGAGTATCATTTGTATGAATTTGAAGTGATTATATGTAATAGACTTATCCAATCAGGATACAAAAAACAGGCAACTGTAATCCATTACAGTTACAGACAAAAAGACATATGATTACAGTTATATGTAGTAAAAATTTCGATTTTTACCAGGATTACAATTTTAAAATTCAAATTTAAAATACATTTAAAATGAAAAAAGGCTATACTGCCATGCACACGCACAGTGCACACACATTACAACACTTTATGAATCTAGAGACACCGTAGCAAATCTTACAGTTCCCCATTCCCTATTGTGAAAATGATCAATAGGCTACTGCCTCAATTTCCTTAATTTTAAGTTGTTATTTTTATTTTTTATTTTTAAAGTTTCTTTTGAGTTTTAAGCAGAGGACACATTTTTTTACTTACTTGTACATTGTTCTGTTGTTTTATAGAAGATGTACAAATCATCTTATTGATTTTTTTTCTTACATTTTTGACATTACTTTAATATTGTGATACTTGGATTAGTTTACTGACTACATTTTTTAACTAGTAATTAGTAATTGTATCGGATTACATTTCTAAAGTAACCCTCCCAGCCACAGTATTGCTACTAATGAGCATAGAGTTTGGTTTTATTTGCCAGTATAATTTAAGCTAAAGGACAGATGCGTACACCAGTCATATATACACATAATCTGCATTTGCACACTATTATTTAATAATGAGAAGAGGGTAGATTAACACATCATGTGCACGCCTGCACTTCCAAAAGGCTGCAGCATCGAGAGCAGTCTGTCACAGGAAGCATCTGGGGGAGCCAACTGTCCCTGCGGTGGGACTGTTTACTCAAAAATGGAGTCACACACCTTCAATACACACCTTGCGTATGACGCTCCTGCAATGACACACACACCATTGAAACATTCTCTCACACACTGCCCAGGGAGCGAAGAAGGAGCCAAATTGCTCTGCTCCGTTCAGCTTTAATTGGGGGTAAAATCAGGTGGCTGCAAGTGTGCCTGGTTAAAAAGCACTGCCCCAGTGGATCCTAAATATAATTAATACTTCATCACAGAGCCTTGAAATGAGCCACGGTTCTCCAGCTAAACAACCTTAGAGTCGTTCAGCACTTTAGCCAGCTGCTTTAAGGGGCAGAGGAAGCAACGGAGGGATGGAAAGTAGAATGATAGGTGAAGGAGAATGGCTTGATGTGGCAGAGAGTAATGGAAGAAACAAAAAGAAGACGGGGGAATCAGTAAAGAGGTACAGAGTGAGTTGGTGGGTTTGTCTTTTTCTGACAAAGTTCTCCTCACGAAAACTTGTCTTTATTATGTCGGTAAGGAGTGGGAACGTAATGGTAGCAACCCACTTCTCCTTTCTCCTCACATCTTTCTTTCTCTCTCTCCCTCTGCCCTTCTCATCTCACTCCTCTGTTTACGTGGCAGCGGTGGCAGAGGAAGATGGAGGGGAGAAAATTATGCTCAGTGGGACACTTGGAGGAAACAGTTTGAAATTGAAATGAGGACAACCCTCCCACCACTCTATCCCTCTTAAAACGGCCTTTGGACTCTCTCTCTCTCTGTCTCTCTGTCTCTCTCTCTCTCACCCCCTTTCACGCTCTCTCTCACTTTCTCTTATGCACACACACTGACACACACACACATGCAGCCTCCTGGATTTGTTTTAAATTAATATTGCTCTTTGATAGACGTGTGTTAGTATTACAGCCAAGCCAAAATTGAACCGTTTTCATCTCAAGATCTGAGGGCGGAGGACAACAGCTTGTTGTGTAAACATGAGAAAAATGTTTTTTTTTTTATCCCCTCATTCTCACTTCTCATTCATATATTCTCTCTCTGTTTCTTTCTCTCCGTGTCTCCCTTTCCTCGCTGTCCCCACATCACTGCCTTACAAGACACTTTTCCTCAACAAGATGTGTGTGTGTGTGTGTGTGTGTGTGTGTGTGTGTCTTGGCGGCACTGACAGCAGGCATGTTTGCAAGTCAACAAATGAATTTAATAAACGCTCAACCAGAACAACGGCTCAGTGAAATGATAGAACTTCATGAATGACGTGTTGTTGGGGTGGGGGGGGGGTGTTAGAACCTTTTTTAGTGATTTTGTAGTCATATTTGTTGTATGAGATTAACTTGACATCACATTGTGAAATTCAGTGCACTATATGCAACTTATAATTTCCTGTTTGACACTCCAGGGAGTTGATACGCTATTGCGATATGGCCTATGATCCATCTTTGCCAACCAAGTAATCAATCTTTTCTTTCTTCTAGATCCCCATTTAGCTTAACCCTGAGACTTGCACTCGGTCAATTCACACATTTTCCCATTTACGCCTCAGTGGTCATTCCATGTCGATATGTATTGATTGGATTCGGCGAGGTTCAGACTCTACCACTTCCCATGTGTCCCAAAACAAAAAGCCGAAGTGTCATATTTGGTTTGTGGCGCTCGCCTATGAACTTCATTTACCTGATACTCTGCTTCATTACCCACAAGAAACTTCTACGTAACATATCTGTTCGACAGTTTTTGTGTTTACCAAATTAGTGATGCTTTTTGAAGGTTTATGAGAAAATTGTTATTATTAGTGTCTGCCAAGTTATGCCACAGTAACACATGAGAATACAGTGTGCATGTATACGTTGAAGCAGGACAGGTCATGCTTCTACCCACTGTTCAGCTTGCTGCATCGCCGTGCTTAAGCATGCACAGCACGATGCCAGTGGCATGCTTGGCCAAGTGGCTAGCTTGCACGTTTTTGCTGATCAACTGCCGAAGCCTGCATTAATATGGAAATATGGATTATTGCAGTTTATGTAAATCAAAAAAATTCTGGGGTGATATAAATGATCCTGTGTTGCTAAGTAGGGGAATGTTTGCGCTTCAGAAGACCGGTGGCCATTGGAACATCTAAAACATTTATTTTTATCTCAATGTCAAATCAAAAAAGTATGGACACCTGTTGTTCTTTTGTAGCATGAGTTGTTTATAGCCATCTAGTCGAATTATAATTGGGGTAACACATTTGTCAAAAAAGAAAACATTCAATCCATTCTTGGACTACTCGCGCCATCCGCCGGATTGTAGTATACGGCCACCAGCTCTAAACTTTCCCGGCGCCTTAGTCACGTACCCCTCAGCACCCCCGACTGCCTCTACTCCATCGCTGGACCGTCTCGCCCCCTCCCACTGCCCACCTCAACGCTCCCCACTCGCTCGCACACCCATAGCCTCACCAACGACCCCTCAACAGCAAGAACACTCTTACAACTCTCGCAAACCCGCCCTCCCACTCCCACCGAACACTGGTTTGGCTCAACAACTCACCTTCATCGCTACCACGCTAACCGCATGTGAAAATCATCTGCGAAAAGCATGCATGGCCTGGGCAAATGAGCATACGCTTAATACTTGGAGCCAAATGGCCGTTCAAGTAGGCTCCATTCACAGTGGCTTGATCCGCCCGGCCCCTTCCGCTCCGCCACCTGCACGGCTACAGTTGCTTCCCTTCACCCCCGCTTACCTTGTCCCTTAGGACGCTTCTACTCTGTATTTATTAATGTCTTAAGGAAGGATCCTTTACCGAGAAGACCCTTACTTAAACAGAAAACACTATATCTCGTTCCTTTACCTACTGAAAACAGTATTTTACTGCAATATCATTAATACCAACATAACTCTTATTTAAAGTGCACAGAAAAAACTCCAAAATCAGTCTCTTCTGTTATTTCTTCCACTATTCCACCAACCCACACAAAAATCCTTCAATCCAATTAATGAGAAAAACAGCAGTTCCAGCCCGCGCACACGAGGCGACGGGCTCGATGAGCAACACAGACAGAGGGAGTGTTCGACACCATGACTCACTTATACACTCAAAAGCAGTTGTACTACACCCGCCTGCTGCCGATACTCAACTGCTTAATCCCATCGCTCCCACTCCACACTCTACCCCCTCTCCCCTCGCTTCCGCACCGCTGGCCATCAACCTTGCCACTCCGTTCACTTCCACGCCTTCTCTTGCCACCTGCTGACGCGCCCCTGCAAGCCTTCAGAACAATTCATACCAGAGTTTCTGCATCATTTTTCAGCTGTCAGACATCTGCCATCATCATTCAAAGCACTTACAAGGTAAGCAAAGGTAGTTAACAAAACTTATAACTGTTAATGAATTGTAGACCTGCAAAAAAAATGTTTTAAAAAAAGGCAAATCGTTTGTTTTGCTCAGTCTTTTATAGCTCGTCTTGTTGTATGTTTTCTTGTTCTCTTTTTACTATAACATCGCACGACAATCTACTAAGTCGATCGATGTGTCTGCTGTCTACTATAAAACATGCAGACACATCGATGCACTTTATAGATGTGTCTGCATGTTTTATAGTAAAAATGGTTCAAATGTGCCAAAAACAAATGGCTTGCTCCTTTGATGATGGATGATACAATGTACAACGCTTGACACATAAATGTATGGGAGAAGCCAGAAGGAAAGCTTCCAAATGTGGCTGCCTCAACAAATGCTGAGAATGGAATACATTGAAGACTAATTAGTTAGCTGGCAAAGATCCAAATGAAACATGATAAATTGATAAAAGGCTTGCTGCTACCAGTTTGGCAGTGTTTTACTAGTGGTTCATGCTTATGTCAAGCCCTTACATTATGTTTGAACCCTGTACATTTCATTTAGAACCTTTAAGCTATTGTTGGTCAAGATGAATTTCAGTTAGGCATTTGTTTGATGTGTGTTGAGAGTTATTTTGGAAAATACTCTTAATATCCAATGGCAGTGTCCCAATATGGGTAAATTGTAATGAAATTAAATGAAATTGAGATGAATTTGGATACCAAAAAGATTTTTTTTTCCACTCCAGACCAAACATCTAAAGTCAAAGTTAAACCTCATACTAACTGTCCCCTTTTTCCCCATTGAAGATCTTTCAGGGACTCCTCTGTGTTTTCTACAACCTTGGTGACGGGGACTACAATCTAACCCTGCCCACCTATCGCCTCGACAATGGCGAATGGCACGAGGTCTTCCTAGATCGGCATGACAATGAGATGATGCTGCAGCTCGACGGTGGCGGAGGGCAGCGGGAGGTCACAGGACTGCGGGGCCGAAGCAGAGAAATCATCATTGACCCCACTGTGGTGATGCTGGGAAACACCTTCCCCTCTGGAATCAACAAGAGCTTCCAGGGTAGGTGATAATAGCACATTTAGCTCATAACTAAAACTGCAAGTGTCTATTGGTGTTAGTTTTAAGGGCTTTTTACCCTTAATTACCCTTTGAGAAGAAATGGCTACACAACTATAGGAGATTTTCTCATTTGCAAGCGTTTTCATTGGTAGTCACTTTAACCAAATTGTCAAAGGGTTGCTCTCAGAAAAAAAAACAACCAAATAGCATAGCTATTATGTTATGTCCTAAATACTGAAAATACTGGATAAAAAAGTTCTTAGAAGAGTTTTCCTCTAAGATATGGTTTTCTCAATAATATAAGAAGAGGGTATCACACAAAAAGAGATGGCTACGATTAGTGGCGCAAACCATCCCAATAATCCTCTTGTTTGTTTTCATCCTGGTGCTTTTACCAAGGACCATTTTTTTGATTTTGTACTGAACAGCACTGTCTGTTTTATTCTTCAATGGGAGGACAAAAATCTGTGATCACATTGCTCAGTGTTCAAGAGTCTTTCTTTAACATCTCCGGCAGATGAATGCTGGGAATTGTTAAGAGGTAAACATTTTCCACAGAGAACAGGAGAAAGGTTATGGCACATAACAGTATAAATCTTCTTGAATGCCCCTTCAGTGGAGAACTGACAGATCATACAATGGCAAAATAACTGCTATACGCCATCCAAACACCATCCCAGCTATACTGTACATAACGTGTGTGTGTGTGGAGGAGAAATAGATAATGTCATGTGTTTGATGTGTCACAGGGTAAAGTGAAAAGGGGTGTGTGTCGTTCGGGGAATGTGAGACAGTTTAACAAGTATTCCTCCTGAAAAATGCTACCAGAAATAGATAATTTTATCTATTCATACGCACTCTTTTCAAAGGAGAGTTCAGTGTCTTAATGAATGATTGATATGACAGTTTAATGGCTAATTCACCCAAATGCATCTTCATTGTTAGCTGGGATGATGGCCGTCCCCAGAGCTGGGTGTATGGAGGGGTGAGGGAGTATGGAGTAAGGGAAAAGCTTCTGTCATGTGTGCGTGTGTGAGAGAAAGAGAGAGAGAACGAAAGAGATGATAGTATACCATAAATATAAAGGCTTTTGTTAAAAAGATTTTCCTATCATATCCTTGAAACAATTGTTTGAAATCTGTTTATATATACCTCAGCACAAACCTTGTCCCTCAACTGACCTCTCATAAATAATCTTACAATAAAAGATTCTGACTCTGAACAACATTTATAACAAGATATTCAGTGGTTAAGAATCCTTTTAGGAATGTATGTCTACTATGTAATATCATGAACTGATTCAAACTCATTAAGCTTTCTATTACCTGATTACATCTCCATGGTGGTTTAAGTCCTCCAGATTAAAGCTAATACATAGTTTGTCTATAAATCACACATAGAAGTGTGTTTGTATCGACAGGATGACATCATTTGCTTTTCAAAACCATTACAAATGGTTGAAATGTGGAAAACTACATGTTCTTAATGATGCAACAACACTGTGTTTGGTTAGGTTTCAATAAAAAAAGGACTTTAGGGAAAGAGATCATGGTTTGGCTTAAAATCTGTAGACTTTGTTACGGTTAGGGAAATGTGTTTTGGGTTCAGATGGGTACTTCGTTAAGGTTAGGGGACCTCCGTCGTCTTGGTTACAATAATAAACACGTGGTTAGGGTTTGGGTACGATCATGGTCATGCTTAAAAAACAATGTTGGCCGTCGGTTGGAAACAGAAAATGAACAGCATTAAAGTTTTGTGTGGATTTATTCATTATAGAAAAAGCAGAGATGCTGTTGGTCTACCTAACAGTTTCAAATAAATAGTTTGACATTTTAGGAAATAAACTTTATTCGCTGAGAGTTAGATGAGAACCACTAGCTCTGTTAGCTTAACTCATCTACCTGCTCCCATCCAAGGACTCGTCTGGCTCATCACCCCTCATGAAACCACTACTTGTCTTCTTTACGCTAGCTAATTTCCCTATTTCCAGTCTGTACACTAAGCTTACCATCTCACAGCTCCGGCTTATCACACAAATATAGAAATAACTCAGTACAAAGGGCACAAACATAGACTGATGGATAGTTTGTTCTGCGGGCCAAATAGTTTTTTGGTGAATTAGTAAAGATTGTTTCCCATCCCTCAGCTGAGAGGGAGAGAGAAAAGCAGGACTGACACGTGCACAAATAAACCCAAATGTTGGCAGATACAGTCAAAAGATTCTGGTGGGGATACATAGAAACAAAAAAAAAGGCAAGATACTGCATGGTAATGTAGAGAAGAGGTTGGAACTATGGAGAGATGCAGACATAAAGTAAGAGAGAGCGCTCCCTGGAGTTAGACAGTAAGAGGTGTTAGACAGCTGTGCCTCAGGCAGTGAAAGACTTTGCACGTGTTTATTAAATGGACGTTAAAAGCATTTCCCTTTAAAAGAGGCAGATGTGATAGATGGTGGCAGTGAAAGTGTGTGTGTGTGTGTGTTTGCATTTACTTTTGTGAACGTCTCCTTTTTAGGACGGTATGAGATGTTAACTGAATACAAGTTAGCAATTAAGCGATGAGAATATAAACACCAGAAATATTTGTCCTTGGGAGTTTATTTCTCCATGGTAACACCTTAGCAACACTTGCTAGTCCAACATAATGGCTTATCATAGACCTTTACCTCAGCTGCAGGTAAACAAGACTCAAAAATTGTGGTCTATAGTAAAAGGACCGATCTCTTTGTGTAAGAAACCTGTTGATATTTTGAGTTGGATTTTAGATTAATGTATAGATATGACTTATTATTGACTCATTCCCATTAGCTTGTAGTTAGATCAGCTAGTAAATACATCATAAATCAGTGTGTGCATTGCAGCTATGCAAATAAGCCAGACTTCATTTAACATTACTGTCATTTATTGCTTTAAGAGGATTCCATATCTGTACCATTTATTGCAATTAAAAGGATAATGACAGCATCATCATTGAAAGAGGTTCAACAGGCTAAGAAACTGGATTTTTCAGAAGATCAGATAGTTTGTCATACTCTTTTATAATATAATTTAATTAGAATCAAAAGTGTGCACGCACATATGGGCCTTAATTATTAATTGTAAGTGCAGGAAAACTCAAAGCTCCAAAGACGAAAAAATGATAACCAGTGTGACCCACCCTACTGTCAGCCACTGGTTTGTTTGTTTTTTTGCAGCCACATTGTTTTTTTGGAGACAGTGAAGGGACACAGTTGAGATGTGCTTGGTTTCTACTCGCTTTTAGCAGGAAACAAAGAGCACACTGAAATATGTTTCTGAAAAGATTTAGGCGACAAATAGACAATGGGTTAACAGAATCTTGATTCACATTTGATCAGCCTAGTCTAGTTTAGACAGTTTGATGCGGTGTGCTGGACGGAATCACTGAAAATGATTTGTTGATTCGAAGTAGCCACGCCCTAAAGTTTGCCCTGCTTTATTGTCTATTTTATATATTTGACATTTTAAATTGGACCATAATTTACAAAATTGAACCTATGGACGAAGGCTCGAAACTAGTGATTGAGACCATAAACCCATTAGGAACCAGGTTTAAGACACTTCCACAATCTGCCTCACAGACACAGAAGCTCTGTCCGCCAATTATATACTGTAAATGATAAAGACACTCTACACTCCCTGTTGGTCAGTGTGGAGTGTGGACAGGGTCAGTGCCTAGACACAAAATATCAGCGATTTACATATTCTGCATTCACGCAACAAACCATTGAAGTCACTATGGTGTCCAGTAATTTAAAGCTGATCAGGTCATTCTATGTATAAATTGTGAGGGATGTTTGATCAATGAATAGTTTGGGTAGTCATGTTTTTCTGGCTAATCTCGGTTTTTGTTTGTGTGATTGTCTGAATGTTTACTCTTCTTTTTAACAATGTCATCATGTTTCAGATTTCAGTAATTATTTAGGTGAGCAGTAAGTATTGTTATAATAAGTGATAGTTGAAATAAACTGGAAGTATTATTTATTATATAGTAGTAAGTGAAAGCATTTCCCTCTATTTGCAATGTCTCTGTGGTTAAAAAATGTGTTTTGTACTAACTGTGTGCAGCAAAGTAAAAAACCTTTCAGATATGTTTACTCCCCCTTGGTAAGTGTCTCAGGCGTGTAACCCATTTGAATCAGTGACATGTGTAAACTGTCAGTGCACCATGGAGCACATTAAACAGTATCCAACATGTATCCAAATCTTTGCCTTCAGAAATATCCTCAAACAGTATCAATGGCATTTTAAGATGTTGCAATAAGCATATTACAAAGAGAAACTCAATGTAACTTGTTCCCACTAAAACAACACTATTTTGCTAAAGCACTGAATGTGACAGAGCAGCCTGAGTTTTAAAAACCAGGCTGGATTTATACCGTAAAGAAATGAAGCCAGTAATCCATCAAGAATATTTGGTTGATTTGCTTACCAGGTATATGCAGTAAAACAAATTTCATTTTGCGTCTGTGCAGGTGAATGTACTTCACAGTATATTTCTTGTTCCACTGAACTCTGATTTTTCTCTCCATGCAGGCTGCATGAGGGACATACGCCTCAATGGTCGCTACATGCCACTGGACAGCCAGCCGCGAGATGGGGTTTCCCAGGTCAGCGTACAAGGCCTCTCCCTTGGGTGCTCGTCTGACTCGTGCAAAAGGAACCAATGTAGCCCCCCCTTCACCTGTGTTGACTTGTGGAGAGTGCACGAATGCAGGTACACACACAAACCCAGATGTAACCGCACGGTTAAGCACATTCACACTTGGTTGTTCCACATTCACACTCATCATTTTGACACAAAGGCATGAAGACACATGCATTTAACTCACTCAACCTCTGAAGGCATTTTTCAGCTTTTGACCTTGGTATTATTTTTGTTCATATCCACATAAATGTGCTTTAAAGGAGTCTGGCCCTGACCTACTTGAGAACGTGGGAAAAACTGTAGGGGGAAAAACATCCCTGAGCCATGATTTTTTTTATAAAACTAATGAAATGCAAATTCCATGGCAACCGTTTTATGGCAAAAGAAAAAATTTCTCACACATGCACAAGGAATGAAAATGTGGCAGCACATAACCATCCACTTGACAAACGGAAGAAAGTCCATTTAAATATTATAGAAAGAGATCACCAGGCAACAAGTGGAGTGAGAATGACACAAGGGACTTATTTAAAACAGATAAATCGTATAACCAGTTCATGGGACTTAAAATCCTTTCAGACATGTACCTCTTTATCTAAATGTGATGGCACCTAGCTCTCATGTCGGAAAAAGAGATTGAATCATTTGTACATGATGACAGCAATCTTACTAGTTCGGACCTCGTAACACTTCTGTAACAATGAACCTGTCTGAATTGCGGGCATCTGCAGTAGAAGAGATTTAAAAAAAACCTTGGAAAACTAGAATAATAATCTAACCTGCACTCTCTATATTCTTCATTTTGCCAACTGTATGTATGAATAAATGAATATACAGCACATTACATAGAGCATGTGAACAAACAGGAGTCCCAACGTAACGTCCTGTCATACAAGGCTTGTGCACTGTCAGACAGCATAAAACTAACTAACTCTAATGGTGTCAAATGTACAAAATGACATGTAACATAATACAAAATGTGAGTGAATTTCCTGTCAGAAGCAGAGGGTGACTGCCCCTCTTACTCATCATGGTCATTAATTGAGGCTTTGATGGGGAAAATAAGCTAAATCCATCAGTGATGCAGCCTGCGAAAGACCAAAAACAACCCTCATCATTGCTAACGTAACATTTTCACTCTCTTTGTACTGTTTTGCACACACCAGGTTCCAAATATCACAGGAGAACACAGCTCTTTCCTGTCATGTCAGGCTGAAGCTTTAATGGACATTAATGTACAAGACATCTATGTCTGAATGACAAAGCCATCACTTCTCCTGATAGAAAGCACCAGCAATGTTGCGTATTCCATGTCTGCAAAGTGCCTCCTAAAATAAGACAGATTTTACAAAAGGATCAGTTCACTTGTCACAAGGAGTACTGCTCAGCCTCTGAAACAGCTGTATAATATCTTTTTTGGTGCTGGTAGAGGCACTGTGCAGCTTGGCTTGGTAACAAAAACATAAAGATCCTCCCCAGACAGACAAATATTCAGTTTGGAACAATCACGTGTGTCTGATTTCCACAAAAAAAAGAATAATTTGCATTTGCAATTTTCACTTTTGCACATTACAATCCTTCAAAGGATGTCTACTCCTTCTACCTCATTGAAACTTCCAGAATCTCTGAATATGCAAATGTTGAATGAGTTGCACACTGGACCAGGACTGACTTCCTAACTATTGTGATGTGATGTCACAAATCCCCGAGCACAGAGAAACTTTCCACTTTCAGCAGTGTGAAAAAATCCTTCTAACTCTGCACATATATCATTTAAACTTCACACTGTAGGACCAAGAAGAAAAACAGCTTTAAGTGGAGGGGAACCTGACAAAATGCTATGTTTTTATGCTATGGAGTGCATTATAGGAACAACGCAGCTGTTTTAGAACCCAGTGTTGAGAGTATCTCAACCTCTGCTGCATCAATTTGGAACAATCTTTTTTAGTATATCTTAGCAAGTCCCACAACTTCACAGAAGTGTAACAGTAAATTGCTGCAATACCTCTTTAAACATTTTCAGGTGATTACTGATTGTGTCAGCGGCCGTGATGAAGCTGACTCTAGTGGATCTCCTTCCAAAGTGTTAAGATAATCACCCTGGATAAAAGATGGATAGAGATCACAAATTGATTGTAGCTAACTCCACCCTACAACAGCATTCTTTTAAACCTTACTCTACATTTTTTCTACGGGTTTGATTGCCTGGTTAACTGTCTTTTCAGGACTGTGGACATCAGTGTACATGCCTGATTTTATTGTGCCTGGCTGCTCGGTTCCTTGATTAAAAACCACAGGCTGAATTTATAAAAATATGAGGTGACTGCCAGTGCCGAACCGGTTGAAGGTCATCATAAATGTGTTCATTTAGTTTTCTTGAAATTGATATCTGCTCTTTGAAAAACAAATGAGCAAGTAAACTCATTTAGCCTCTTAGTCATGGGCATGGTGTCATGTGAACTCAAATCAGCACTGTGCTCCTCCCCCCCAGCCTGTCTGACATAGGAGGAATACTGTGGAGCAGCTTCAAAGTCAGTCCTACATTCATTTTAACTGGCTACTGCACACATCTGTGGGTCAAACAGTCCACTGGAATTGTCCAAATGAGCTCCAATAGCACCAAATAATTTGTTTGTATCCCTTAGTAAGTAGAAATGATATGCATGGATGTGCACCAGGGAGGCTTAGTTGTTACAGGCTGAGCTGGTGTGCATGTTGCTACAGGTTATTGGTGAGAGGATGAAACACAAAGCAGGAAGTCCAGTTTTAATGCTTATGAAACATGACACAGTGGGAGCAGTTTATACTCTTTGAGGGAGGATTGTACAACTCTGGCAACAACTTTCCTCTGCGCCTTGGTGTTTGCGAGGTAAATATGATTGACCAAACACAGTGGCTTGCCAGTCGACTCTAGACTACACTGCAGCAGAAGTTGAGCCAGGATCAACTTTTTTCTGCTTGCCAGAGCTCTCTGCCACATCAACCCCAGTACACTTTGACTGTGGTCTCATTCAAAATGAATGAGGAGGTTGTGTTTCTTCAGGCAGTGTTATTGTCAGTCTAAACATGGCCTCAGAGAGACTTTTAAAAGTTAAATCCCCAGAAGAGCCAAGTGTGTTCAGCAACAGCTGCATCTCCCGTTAAAAGGTAATGAATAAGGCAACCCCATCTGCTCTTTTACTAAGCTAAACACCTAAAATGTTGGAGTGTATTATTTTCCCAGCCCCTCTGACCCTGATGGGATTCACACATTTGCTTCATCAACATTTCACATGCACTACTGTATGACTCTCTGTGTGAGGGTAAGTTTGTTTGTCACTGGGAAATGGGAAATGTCGTGCGATGAAAAGCCGCAGCAGACTAACAACCCTCTCCTGTGGCAGAGACCGAATCAAACACGCAGCGCTCTTAGCCACATACACTAATCTCAGCAATTTTTCTGCCATTGGAAGCATCAGCCTCTATTCAGTCTGTGCAGCCTTCTAGCTTTTAATCTTGCCTTTCCCTCTTTTCCACTCCTCTGATCCACTCACCCACATCATCCATCCAACAACCTTTTTTTGTATGTTTTTTTTTTACAATGGCTCTCATTCTTGCACTCTGGCCCTCCATTTCTTAGTCTGTATGGCTCTCATCTTGCTCACTCCTGCTCAGTTTTTTTTTTTAACACCCGTACCTTTGCCACACACACACATACACACACAGCCTCCCCCTCCATTCCCACCCTGCTTGCTTGTTCAACTTGTTCTCTTTTCACCACTTGACCTAGACCGTGGGACATGATTAGAGAGCGCTAAGTGTTTGCAACGAGTGCTCCAAGCACAAGTGCTTGATACCTGGTATTCAGGGGCCACAGCCAAATGGTCAAATAATAGCATACTGTAATGTGGGCTCACACAAAGACATTTTTCATTGTTATTTTAAGTTTAAGGAAGGACAGATAGCATTAGCATTAAATCAACATTAAATTGACTCTTTGCTAAACCCCTTGCATGCATAGTGTCCAGTCATATTTTAGCAAGTGGGCACACCGGATGTGTAAGTATAAGGAATGGATTAAACAGTGTGTCTATCAGCTATAATAGGATTGTTAGCACACTCGCTTGCGACCTATAGTAGTAACTTACTTCTAAGGCCAAGGTGTTTGTTAGCTAACTACATTATTTGGTGGGATTACACAATATGTCACAATACAAAGTCCATGTTCAGGTTCGACACATCCAGCGTGTGGGAGCCCAAATTCATTTATAATACTGTACTTTAATATTGGAGCAGTACAGTGCTGCTCATTTGCATGTCTTTTACATACTTTCTACAGACTTTTTGTCTGGGACTTGCATCTTTAGACCCAATCTTTCATGATATTATGCATAGCCATCATGTGCAAATCTAAGGCCCTTTTACAGGTTCTTGCTTTAGAATGAGTTAGCTAGAGACAAGAAGTTAGCTTGGGAAAATGCTGTCAAGAAACTGAGTTAGCGTAGTAACTAATGCTAGCAAACTATAGATACAAACTTGAATATTTAGCTGATAAAATCTGCCAATGAGAGCCCCGATTTCAGCAGATATACCCATCGTCTAGCCATGAGAATCCTGTGTTTATTTTTGTGTGAAATTGACAACCGATTGTTTAGAAAACAATGCATGTTTATGTGCCATGCAAATAGCCAACAGTAAGTTTGACATGCACAGCAACAGTAACTAAAGAGGGCAAGGTTTAGCATTGGGTCCATTTAGAGTATAGAAGCAATAGTATAAAAAAATAGGCAAAGACAAAACAAATTGTTGAATATTAGTTTACAGTGGACCCATTTACAGTGAAAACTTTAGTGTTCGGCTGATCTACAGCATTATCAACAGCTCTGTTGCATTTCAATGCCTATGTCTATTACTGAAAGCATATCTTCATGTGCAACATGAATCAAAAGTTGAGACAGCAGAAAATTGAGATAAAAAAATATCTTTAGACTAGTTGGATCATTTTAAAAATTCATTAAAACCAAAAGCACCTGTCACTAATTACTGTGAGTGCGCGTGCATGCTCATCTTGGTTAGTATAAGACAACACCCAGCACTGATTTCAGGCATGGCTAATGACAGCCAGTGATAAGAGAGAGCAGAGAAGAGAAGCACTGCTGTGTAGTTGACTGACAGGCGTCCAGTATTCAACACCTACACAGACCAACCAGGCATTGTGAATACTGAACACTGAGCTTTTGTTATGGCATAATAATCCCACCCACAGTTAATTACCTTTAAAAAGATTCTGTGCTTCAAGCAGCTCGGTCTGTGTTTATCTTCGGTTATCAAGTTAGGTGACATTTAAAACTACGTAAGAAAATTATGAAACCATAAAAAGGGATTTTTTTAGCTGACTTTGGACGAGTCATTCGACTTGTATTGGCCCTTATGACAAAAATAAAATGACATTTTATGTCAGTTCTGGCCCGAAGAGTCCAGTCTGAAGGCTCTCATGGGAATGAACATATTGTAGCTGGTGATGAAATGCTTGAAAAAGCAATCAGTAAAACTCTAAAATCAGTTCTGTAGCTGATAGTAAATAGAGAAGGAAACAATTTTACACTTTGTTCTCTTCTTTTGGCACTGGTTAAAATCGCCTGCATCCTCTACAAGATGGTGATAAGTGAGAATCTGAGTGTTACATAAGCAAGTTCTGAGCCAGCTGAAGTTTTTTACATTTCCATCAGGCATAAACATACACATCAAAATATAAAAAAAATTACAGTAAAGCATGTGTAACACTGTATATTATTATTTATAGTATAATATATAGTAATACTACTATATAAATAAAATATGAATAAATAAAAATATGTTTTGGCCAGCCAAAAGTGTTTTTCCTTTATTGTTTGTGATGGAACATTAATTTATTTACATTAAACATTTAATATTTGTTCTACATTTATGAATTGGATATTCACATATCTACTTGACTCGACTAAAGTATGGTTATGGTTAGGTAACTACAACTACACTTGGCAAAAGCTTTTGTATGTCCTTAAAGCTGCACTAATCAATATTTTTATATTAACAATGGATCAAATGACAGTACGAGAGAGTCATTCGTAAAGACGATTCCACAGAATTATCATCCATCTCTGCCACTGCCTGTCCAACACTTAGCAGAAGCTTGACAAAATTAGCATCTAGCAGGTGATCATCATTTAGCAGCTGGAGTTGGTGGAGTCAAAATTATAGCTGAAAAGGACAGTGGATTTATATTTGTTGGTTGGCCAGAATAATAAATTCTAATATGTCTGCCGGATGTGTAGATAGGGAACTGTTTGCAAACACATATAGCATAACAAGTTTAGATTGCGATAATTTGTCATTATTGTGTTTACAGCCTTCTCTACTGCCCCCAAGTGGCCAGTATTTTAACAAACATGTAGCTCCTTAACTACAACTAATGTACTGTGTAATATACCATACATTTTGCTTACTGTTCACAACAATGAATGCAATATTTAGAATACATTCAGATTTATGAAAACTGCATTGTTTATATCAAGGCCATTTATACTTCTGCGTTGTAGTGCTGTAGATACAACGTCTATGTGTGTTAGGTTACACTGTAATCTATGCCATAGCTGCAAGGCCTCCTTAAAATGTAGCTACAAATAGGGGGTACAGTAGCGACTGAGATACCACATGGGGACTGCAAGAACTGTGATTAGTCAGCATGGCCTGCTTGTGTTTGTTTTTGCTAGTAGCAGAGAATGCAAAATAAGGCAAGTTGGAGAAGGTTATATAAATAAATATATACGGTCTGATCATACTGTGTGTCTAGTGTTGCAGTGGTGATGTCAATAGGTGACAACTATAAATTGAAACTCCCCATAACCCCTTGTATCGACTATAACTCTTCCTTTACAGTCTGTTCCCTCTGCTGTTTTGACGGCCATTACCCACACAAATTTCAGTGCACTCTTGTGAGTGTGCACATGCTGCTTGATAATGAGCTATAGTATGGTGACACACTCTTACATTGCTCTGCACAACCATTGGAGGTCAAAAACTCCAGCTACACAGGATACACTAAAGGTGTGGGGAAGATGATGGTCAAGAATTAAAGATTCCCAAGCCGACTGTGTGACAGGGCTCCAAAATGTTGCCAGTGAACATAAACTGCTGGAGCAGATTAGTTGCATATGAACATAATTCACAGGAGACAGAGTTTGGCAGATCATACGGTAAGTTAACCCTTTAGTGTCTCCTCCGGATCAGTTTTATGACAGAAGATGAACAGTTATGAGACAAATTGCAGTGCCATTTTGAATTTAATGTTGCTGTTTCATAGTAAAGTTGAGTCAATATTTATAAGCATGAGCAAATCTCCAGAGACCGGAGGCAAGACTCATCTCTGATGTCATCAAAATGTACAGCCTGGAGCTGCTCCATAGACATTGAATGGGATACTGAATTAATGGGCTCATAAAATGTTTGTTTGAGCTGTTACACCCAAATGAGCTTTTAATTATAGTGGTGCTTTCTGAAGTGAGGCAGAAAATGTGCCCCTGTCTGCATAAAATCATCCTAGTTATTGCCAGTGCCACAGTCAGCATTTTCATCTCTTCCAGTTCATTCTCTATTGAGGTGTACACCTGTGTAAGATCACTGATCAAAGGAGAGTAATTAACTTTTTTTTGCTGTGGGGAATGGTAATAAACAATAAGTATTAACGAATAAGTTTTATCCTGTATATTCATGTTCATTTTATCTTCTAATGCTCCAATCCAATACGAGTTGTTTTATTACTCTTGTTCTGCTGTTTTTATTTACATGCAGTCTTTTTCTTTGATGCATCTGTAACTGCCTTTCTAATGACACATTTCCTCAGAGGGATTATTACACATTGACCTAATCAACTCTGGTGCCATGCACATCTAAGTGATCTTAATCTACATGCAATTTATGATTTTTTTCCCCCTCTTCTTTCCTCCCTGTGTTGTCCCTGTCCAACCCTTCTTTGCAGATGTCCTCCTGGCCACATGGTCCGTGTGAACGGGACCAGAAAGTCCTGTGTCTACACGCTCTGTGCCACACGGCCTTGTCATCGGGGGACCTGTGTGGCCCAGTCGCCGTCCAAATTCACCTGCCACTGCCCAGAGGGTTATAGAGGACGCCACTGTGAGACGACACTGGCCATTTACCGGGAGGACGTAGGCCTGAGCTTCAGCTCCCTCTTCGCCATCTGTATCTGCTTCATGGCCTTACTAGGTAGCTACTGCATCCACTGCCTGTTCCACATACAGTAATGAGGAGATAATTGTGGAGCTAACGCACAGCAGGAGGGCTTTTGTTGTGTTTGTGTGGAATTTGTGATAGTATCTTGCCTTTCTCTATGAAACAAAGGGGTTGAACAAAGAAGCACAGTGCGAAAGAGGAACCCAACCAGGATCAGAAACCCCATCACAGGACTTAAAAGACAAATTCTGGTGTTTGTCAACCAGGGGTTTATCCTCATTATTTGGTCCGTATTTTCATAATAACATTGTTGCCACATTGTACAGTGTGTCGCCATTATTATTTTTTTCATCCAGATTCCCACAACGGTGACATTAAAAATCTCCTCACACCCCTGTCCCAATTCTACCAGTTCCATACTGTAATGCTTACTCTAGAACATGGTAAACCTTTTTTTTTAATAAGTTTCCTTCATGTTTCAGAAAAAACATTCAAGCACAAGTTTGAACAAAAGTTAACACAGTAAATAGTCCCTTGGAAATTCTTTATTGGTTTCATATCATAGTGGAACCACTAAGTTTTGGCCAGCGGAGGTGGATCTGGTTCACCTTGTACTTATCTAGGGTGACAAATGCTGGAATATGCATTCAAGGAACTGATATCCACAAAAATTACAGATGTGTTACAATGCAGCACAGAATTTATATCTAGACCTGCAAGCTCTCTCTCTACTTCTCTCTCTCTCATACACACACAAACCCACCTACACACACATGCTGATCGTGTACCAGATGTTTTTAATGATGTTATAGACGTTTCTTTGATAATTAATGCTGTACTTTATCCCTAGAGGCTTGTTCTATGGGGATGTGGATATAGCAAGACTCTTGGGACAATTTTTTCACACTCAGAAAACAGGGACCTATCAACATACACCACTTTGAACTGGATGTTATAATTACTGTACAGGGCTCCCTTTGGCTTATGCTCCTCATCTTTATCTACATCTCTCACTACAGCCACATAGGTTAAATATAAACAGTGTTATCTTAAATGTCAGAACTATTCCTTCTGTCCACATCCCAGATGTAGAATTTTATCTCACTGCCATGTAGGTTGGACAATCACTAGTGCTCTGACAGCATAAGGGACTTAAGGGACCAAGTAATAAGATACTGGGAGATGAAAGGGACATATGTTAGTGTTCTGGAAACAATAAGTTAGCTATGGCCTGTTGATTAGGCACACTCACTAACACGGTCAGAAGTGTCAGACTAAAGAAGCCAGTGCACCGAGTATATAACACAATAACTTTGCCAGTTTTGCAGTTTGTTTCTTCATCAGCATTTCTCAAATCAGACATGTCCCTTTGATAATGGACTGTATTCTATGCTGTAGCTTAAAGCCAATGAACTGACCATAGTTTTCACTGTAGTCAGGCTTTCTTCACCAAAAGGTTAGAAAGTCTCAGGAGGAATCAGAAGTTAGAACTTCAGCTACTAAACTTCTTGCAGTGGTACTGTACAAACATCCTCTGGCCTGTGGGTGGACGGACTGCAGCGCACTGGTGTCTGGTTATCTGTTGTTAAAATCCACGTTTTTCTGTCTGCCCGACTGCCTGTTTTTGCTTGTTGAATATTCATCTGTCTGTACCTTTAGCGCTGTGTTCCTATTCCTAAAGGATCCTCTGCTGAGAAAGTGCCTCAGGCACAGTCGTACACAGAGAATGAGTTGTCAGTACAATGACATGTTCCCCTTGTTTAATTGAGTACAATACAACAGAACAGTAAAGAGCAGTATGAGACAGAGCAGAGTACAAGAGAAGAAAACAGATCAGAGGAGTACAGAATAAAACAGGACACAGCACAATACCAGAAGAAAAACAAGAGGAAGCTGAAAAGATTACAAAGCAACACAGCAAGAGAAGGGAAAGCGGGAGCTACGTAGTGCAGAGAATGAAGGTGTCAATGTCACACTGCTGCTGGCTATGTCTGTTTGTCTCATGAGTGATTCAGAGGGCACCTCCATCCCACCCTGAGACCAGACAGACACAGTTCAAATGATCATTTCTCCTTCTCTTCTTCTCACCCCCATTCCACAAAACCTCCCTTCAAACTTGGCTTTGGGCTCATATTAAATGCGACATCCGACCTTGATTCTGCTGAGGCTCAGTTCTGTTTTAAGTGTTAATTACTTGATTTGTAGGCGTATAAGGTGCTGTTTACCCAAACCTGCAGAAATTGAGATCAATGCTCCAGGGGCTTTGGTAGTAATTTCAATCGGTAGAGCATTCCCTGCTCAATCAGTCAAGCGTTCCTCACTCTGAAATTTAAGTAGCAGCAAGAGATCAAATATTGCTTGTACGGACTCCAAATGTTTGAATAGCAAGAACAAAAGGAGGGCAGCAACTCTCTTGATGCAGTGCTGAAGAACAATGAGCTGTTCTTTTAAGAATGTTATGATCAGTGAAGATTAAAGAAAAAATCTATCCTAAAACAGAATTCATATTAGCTAATTCTCTTTTATCTTATTGTCCAGTCTCATATGGTCAACTTTGAGAAGTGAGGAACTATACAGTGGGATTTTATACAGCCAAATTTGGCATAGTGATTGGAGGTTTTTGCCACAGTGATGCCGTGGCTCCAGGGATCAGTGACAAGAAGACCAGCTGGGCCACCTTATTTCAGACTGAAATATCTCAACAATTATTGGATGGATTGCCTTTAAATTGTGTACAGACAACCATGGTTTCAAGAGAACAAATCATGATATCATGTTCGGTGATCAACTGACTTTCCTTCAGCATGCCATGGTAAACCTGCTTAACATCAGCATATTAACATTGTCATTGCAACCATGTAAGCATGTTGTTTGAATTTAGTTTAAAGCAAAGCCAAGTACAGCCTTACAATGCTGCCAGCATAATGGCTAGAGTCTTTGCCTTGTTAGTCAATAATAAAGGAACTTTTCCAAATTTCCAAATATTTCTTTTTTTATCATTTTAATTGGGAAACTTGAACAACTTTGCGATGTCTGATTCAGTTCAGTTGATGCCCCTGGTCTGCACCGTTTTATCCAAAGAGAAGTCTTTCGTTGCTGTGTTACTCTTCTATTGATGAGACTGGGAGACTGGCAGAGCTGGCCCAGTGACAGTCCCCAGGGTGCTCCTCTGGGGTTGTGAGTTCAGAACAAAGTTTTTAGTTGAGAAATGTCAGCAAGGCTACACACCAAGTCAAAGTCCAATCGGCTATCTCTTGACAATATTAATGTTTAATAAACTAGCCCTCTGAATTTATTATGTAGCTTGAATATTGATTTGGCACTCACGATGGGAATTCATTTATTCTGTTTGCTTATTTTGGCTTCTACATGTTTGCAGCTGTGTGTTAATATTCTCTCTTCACATGAACCTCTTCCTTGTGTTTCTATTGCCATTTCTCTCTCTCAGCATTGTTTCTCTGTATTCTTGACCAAATGTATTACTGTGGGTTTGAGACTCACATACTCTCCTGTATGTCTGGAACTTTACCTGCTCTTAATCCATTCCTGCTGCTCTCCTTTGCAGAATACACAATGTAGGTTTAATGCATTTTTTTATAGCACCATATAGTTTATTTTATTATTTTCACTTGAAAGGGAAAATTAACTTCAGTGAGTGATTAACTTTTTTTACTTAAGTGCAAGATAAACGCTTTAACATTTACTTATAGCGAGGCTATTATTTTCGAAAGGAAAATACATTTTATTTTAAAATGATGGATTGGAAAATTGGAAATAAAATTGTAAACCTAGAATAGAAACTTTAAACTGAAACAGTTTTAGTTTTGTTTCAATCTTGCATTACATTTTCTTTACTGTGCATCTAGCAGAAAGCTGTTTTCTGTTTAGTTGCTTTGTTAGTTCTTAGCTTTGTTGTAGCTGTAATTAGATGCATTCCTGTGTTTCAGTTTGTAAAACAGATCTGATAACAGAAAACCATTGTCAAACCCTGGCAGCTCACCTGGTAGAGCTAGGGCCCTTGCTGCGGTGGCCATAGGTTCGAGTCTAACCTTTGCAGCCATTTGCTGAGTGTAGTCCCCTCTATCTCTCC